ATCCATCTGGGACCCTTTCCCGACGCAAAACAACTCTGTCGGGGAAATCGCAATTTCCCAAATGAAATCTCTTATTGGGGCCTTGTTTTTCGCGGCTCGGCCCTCCCGCGCAGCGTCGGGAGGTCCCAGATGGATTTTCACCCCGGAACCGTTCCAGGGTGAAAATCCATTTGGAACCCTCTCCCGAAGCAAAACGGCTCTCTTGGGGGCTTCTGCGAGGAGCCCAATCAGGGCTTCTGTAAGGAGCCCATGGAGGGCTTCTGCAAGGAGCCCAGTGAGGGCTTCTCTAAGGAGCCCAGTGAGGAGCCCAGTGAGGGCTTCTGTAAGGAGCCCAGGAATGGCTTCTGTAAGGAGCCCAATAAGAGCTTCTGTAAGGAGCCCAGTAAGGGCTTCTGTAAGGAGCCCAGTAAGGGCTTCTGTAAGGAGCCCAATAAGGGCTTCTTACATGAGCCCAGGAAGGAGCTGAGAGAAGCCTTCTGGGAGGAACTCAAAATAGGTCCAGATGGGTTTTCACCCCGGAACGGTTCCAGGGTGATTATGGAACCTGAAACGGTCAGTGTCAAGCTTCCAGAATCACCCCGGAACGGTTCCAGGTGATTCCGGAACCTGAAACGGTGGATTTTGTGGGCGGGTCGGGTCGGGTCGGGCGGGCGGGACAGTAAAGTGCGGGGCCTGCTCGACCGAGCACGCGCGAACCTTATCGGGCGGGTCGGGTCGGGCGGGCGAACCCTAGCGGGCGGGTCGGGTCGGGTCGGGCAGGCGGACCTTAACGTGCGGGTCGGGTCGGTCGGGCGGGACATTACAGCGTGGGGCCTGCTCGACCGAGCACATGCGAACCTTGACGGGTGGGCTTGGTCGGGCGGGCGGGTCGGGTCGGGTCGGGCGGGCGGACCCTAACGGGCGGGTGGGGTCGGGTGGGCGGACCCTAGCATTGTGCGTGCCAAGCTAGAGAGTTATTTTCATCATCAACGCAAATCTGTTACTGGATTATGTGCTATTATGTTTTTTTCTGTGCGTCTGAAATCCGTTCGCGTCGATTGAGTGGCTCGCAGAAGTTACCGCTTTCTGGCTCAGATGTTCTCTTCACTTTGTCGGGAGGGGCTCGGCGTGGCACCAACGCGGCACTGCTGCTTCGAAATCGTTTCGAGGAGCATCTGTCGCGTGGCCCGCAGGTCAGGGCAACCAGGCCTGCCGACTTGGCGACGAAGCTTCGCGCCGAA